AGTTTCTATTGTAACTTTATTTTTAGCTCTTTGTACTATGCTCTGATCAGTAGAGTTGCTAAAACCACCAAAGCCATTATTTAAACTATCAGAAGTACTGAATCCACCAAATCCATCATCTAAACCAGTGGAAGTACTAAAACCACCAAAACCATCATTTAAACCCGTGGAAATACTGAATCCACCAAAACCATCATCTAAACCGGCAGTACTACTAATTCCATTATTTATTTTGTCATACAATAAGCTTGGATTTGTTCTACCCATATCTAACAACGCCATGTCTATATCATCATCCTCATCATGAAATTTCTTTTCAAAACTCGGCATAAACAAACTTCTTTCTGATGACGATCTTAATAACGATGATTCAGTATTAATAAAAATATTTTGAATAGGTTCTTCAGGTGGTAATGCCTGTCGTTCTTTAGCTTCTGCAATAATTTCATCGTAATCATCGACAACTTCATCTTTCTGTTGACGACGTTCTTCGCTAAGTGAATAAGCTTTTTCAAAAGCGGCAATAGCATTTGGAAGATCTATTCTAATCGCATCAATAAGCGTTTGTAAAGAAACATCATCTTGCTGTGCCAATGTTAACGTTTTCTTTTCATGTCGATAGAGACTTCGAAAACGAATGTAAACACGTTCAGCCATTGTCGGTAAGCGTTTGAGTAAATCAAGAAATGAATATGGTTGAAGTTCTCCAATTAAATTACCTGCTTCTGTGTCTGGTGTTAAATGGACTTTGATGAGTTCATTAGCACGATCAGACAATCGAGCCCATGTTTCAACGAGTAACGTTTTACATGAAGTTGGTCCGACAAGTAAAACAGGTTCTTTAGCATGTACAGCAAGAGCAAGACGAACAAGTGAACGACGAAATGATTCAGGTGATGTTGACACAACACTATCACTAAGTTTCATATTTGATACATCAATGTACAGATCATCTTCTCGAAAACGAACACTAGTACCAACAGATCGTATTTCAATCGGCGGAGTTTTCAGTAATTTTATATTTGGCCATACTTTTCCTAAGTCCTGCATTAATGATTCATTCATTGAACTTTCAGATGGATATTTAACAGCTAAAAGTGATGCACCGACAACAGGCCAAAGTTCTTTATCAGGTGAAAATATTGCATGTCGATGAAGCCATTTGACAAGTTCACGAAATGTAATTCGTGATTGTTTTTTAATAACTTTATGATAAAAATCGGACAATTTTTCAGTTGATTCTTCTTTCAAACATTTTGGCTTTTCTTTGCCTGGTTCATTACGTTCATAGATAATTTTTGGTAATTCATTTGCTGGAAAATCATCAAATTGAACTTCAAGAAAACGATTACGTAATGAAACAGGTAATTGATGACGATTTGCATA